CCATAAAATAGTCTTACATAATTTTTCACAGCAGAGTTCTAAAATTCCTTCTTGGTACTGAAAAAAACATATATGAATGAAAGCATTAAGGTCATGATTTTCTTTACACCTACTTTTTTATGAATTTCTCCCCCCTTCCCCCCCCCCCCACTCTTTAAGGTTATGATGATAGTGGCTCAGTGGTTAGAATGCAGTATTGCAGACTAACTCACTGCTTACTTCAGGAATTCAATTTTGAGCAGCTGAAGGTTGACTTAGCCTTCCATCCTTCTGAGGTCGGTAAAACAAGGCCCAACATGTTGGGGACAATATGCTGGGGACAATATGCTGACTCTGTAAACCACTTAGAGAGGACTCTAAAGCACTGTGAAGTGGTATATCAGTCTAAGTGCTATTGCTATTTTCTTTACACCTACTTTTTTTCTAAATTTTCTTTTTTTCTGCTCTTTTCTAAATATCTTTGCACAAAGAAATGGGTTCTTAATGATTTCACTGGTGTTCTGTTCTCTTTGGGATTCAGAGAATAGAGATTACAACTATTTAGTACACAGTTTTCAAATGGGAAGTAGCATTACATTTTCTCTTTCCTTCACATTCATTTCCAAAAGTTAATCACCTTTGGGAATGCTACACATGTTCATCCTCTTATATTTATATAATATCATTTACTTGGAAAATCATGGACATTGTGCATAGCATGTTTACTCCTAAATCCTTTGCGCTAACATTTAAATTGTTACTTTAAGTCTTCCTAGGAATAAAAGAATTTAGGAAAAAAATTGTGTCCCAATTTAAATAAAGGCATAGTAATGAAAAAAATTTGAATGGGTATGAAGGCTGATAGGGCTTGCCCAACTTTGGCTGATTTTGAACAAAAGGTCAATAATTCTAATTGTAAATTCTGACTCATACCTGAATGTCCAAAATTTTGCATGTTTCAAAATTTTGAGATAATGCTTTTTTATTCTTCAAAAACCTCTGTAATTCATACCATATTTGTTTAATACTTCTAATGTTAAGACCTTTTATGCCATCCAATCCCAAGATTCTGGGTAGTTTATAAAAAACAATATAAAACCGTTTAAAGGGACATTTTGAGTGCCTTAATGCAATTAAATAAGAGTTTACTGTAAAATTGCATGATGTCCACTGGGTATAATTGGCTACTTTAATTTGATTTTAAAATGAAGTTTTTCCACTTCTTCTTGAATGGCAAAGAATTTCAAATACATTTAACATTAAAAAAAGACACAGATGCCATATGACATCCTCTAGTTCAGGGGTTCCCAACCCATGGTCCATGTACTGGTACCGGACCATGGCATGCCAGCAACCGGTCCGCACAAACAAGCAAAGCCCCATCCACGAGATGCAGGTAGTGCACAAAACCACGCCCCCTCCAGTCCATGGAAAATCTCTCTCTATGGAACGGTCCCTGGTGCCCAAAAGGTTGGGGACCTCTGCTTTAGTTAAAAGCAATCCCTAGTTATAATGTGAATAGTTACCCCCTTTTTGCCAGAACTACATTGGCCCTACCACAACCATTAACAGCTCAGCAAAGTTTTACAGAAACAGTTTGGTTCTGAATTAGACATAGAATAGAAATTTATTCTTAATTCTCCTGCTTTGCTTCATACTTCAGATCCCTAATGAGAACAGGTTTGCTTGTTCAGCCCTTCCTATTCCCCTTCAAATTGATTTAAGTTAGAGCTATCCCAAAGTCAGCCTAAAGCACCATTTTAGGAGATAGCCAAGGAATTTTGAAGGAAGCATGGCATGCTTGTTTTGCCATGATTAGCAAAATGTCTTTAGCTAATTCTTCATATCCCCACATGAATTGTTGTTGGCATCATTGTTGGCATCCTGCAGGGTAGCAGGAGATGGTACCTACTGTACATTAGAGACTGAGGCACCATCCTCTAGCAGCTACTGATGAGGTTCCCAGAAATGCCATAAGTGTCTGCATTAGGAGAACTACATAATAAATTTCACTATTTTGCAACTCTCAGTTGGAGGAGAGAAGATGTTATTTTTGGCCATCTTTGAGGTATGGTTGAATTATTTATCCAACCACATGCAGTATTGTGTGTAGAAAAGGGCAGGCACAAAAGATCTTCAGCTGAGCTGGTAAGGAAGTCACAATTTGACAAAGGATTAGCTGCTACGTTTTTATATATGAAGTGAAGATAAATATTTCTTCTTAAAGGAAAGTTGAAAAGACCAAACTACAAGCAGTTGTGTGTACATTCTTTCCTATTTCCTTAAACAACAGAAAAAAGGGGACTGCCTCATGAAAGGAAGGAGTTAACATTTTCCACACAGTTATGAGAAAGATCACAAACACAGTCATTTGCTATTGTTTTAATAGCAACTTCCCTTCTAAATAGCAGTTAATATGAGAGAAATTTTTAAATGTAGCGAGAAGGAAAGGAAGTTTATTCTCTCTTCCTATGTACTGAAGGCCTAACCTCAATTAACCAACGGTCACTATTATAAAAAGAATGTGTGGGTGACAGAGTACTATACATGTTAAATGCAAATAGTTAATATATTAACTCACTTAGATCTGAATTGTTTTAAAAAGATAAAAATATTTTAACAGAAAAATTCTTGCAGAAGTTCTGAATAATGTTTAGAAAGCTCATTGGAAGAAAAAGAGTGATTCTTGGACTACCGTATCTAGGCTGGGAAAATCTGGATGATCATCAGATGTCAGTAAAAAGACAGAGACAATTCTTTGCAATCATAGAGTGGTTATTTGGAATTGTTGAATCCTGATACAATCACTTGAAGAGAGTTTACCTATGCCATATTAGCAAGTATAAGTAACCTATGAAGTTTATCTATGTCATATTAGCAAGTATAAGTAACCTAGGGAGGAGCAAATTTAAGATACAAGGCATCTGCGACAGTGCTCTCCCCTCAAAAAAATATATGTACAACAATATTAAAGGATTTAATACTTTTTTGTATCTGTTCAAATCCTGCTGAATATCACTCCTTCAAGCTAGTCTTACCTGAGAATAGGACACTTGATACAATCTCAGGGCTCTATCCATCTGGATAAACTATACATTTGGATTTGAGTTAATATACTAGACCATTCAAGGAGTTGAACCTCATACAATAAAACCCTTGTGCTAAAGTATATAAGACCCCTAATATATTTTAGACATTCCATGTGGCAAAGTTATCAAGAGATCATTTATAATATATCACAAAATCCTCTTTGGATTTTTTTTCATCATAGCTAACTATATTTATTGATAAATCTTTCTGTTGAACCAGGGATGGTTCTTAAGTCTGGGATCAGCCTACAGATTAAGTTAATATTAAAAATTGTATACAAAAGAGAATAATTGTTGCAGATAAATCCTTTAAATTTTACTATTATTAATATCAAAGAAAAAACTATAATAGCGGGAAAAAAGTCTTTGCTTTAAATATTATACATAATATATATCTCAATAAACAGAAAAAATGAACTATTTACATGGGCTTCGATCTAATTGTCCTTTGTGGCATTCTAAAAAAAAAAAGATAAATTGCCCTCAACTTCTGGAAAACCCTGCAGTTTCTTGGCAACATTACAGAAATGATTTGCCTTTGCTGTCTTCAAGTTTCTCTCAGGTTGACTAGGTGACTCCTTTTATTTTAATTGACTCAAAATATCAGAATGATATGATCACATATCATATTAGAGTGCATTTGGAGATTCAGACATGTTTATCTAGTCTCCAAAGAATTCATTCATATCAATTAAGGACTTCTTATTTGACTAAGTGTCTGGGATGATCATTCATACGCACACATGTGCACACACACACACATACAAGCATGCATATCCACATCCATATACATCCATATACATTCGCACGTACATGCAAATGTACATACATTTAGCTGCTTTCATCATTTCTGCTGCTTCTTTGTTGCATCTGACTTACACATCATCTCAACAGAAAGCAGAAAACTGACTTTATATTCATGACACATAACATTACTTATAGCCCTTTTGCTGACATCTGTAGCTTTAAGATCCTCCTTCTAAACATTTGGGGGATTATTACATATCTATTCTGCTTTCCTTCACCAATATATGTAGATTTTACATGACCTTTCAGATGATGTTATGAAATTAATTAAGAAGGTATTCATCTCACATTCACATCTTGTTTGGTATTGGTATTAATCTGGGGGACCTGACCAAAAGAATTATTCTCAACATACTTTATGTGCATCCTGATGTGAAAAAGTAAAGTCAGCATTTATTTGTTTCAGGCATAAGAGAAAAGCCTTAATTGCTACAGTAATTGGTAAATGGTAAAGACAATCTGTATTGTCTGTACTATATTTGTGTTTGTATGCATTAGTGGGAACACCGGATCAGCCAAACATCCACCGTGCTGAAATCTGCATCCTGAAAAATGGGTAGCTTCCAATGATGGCAATAGAAGGCCAGCCATAGGAAGGAGTTGCATCTTACTGTAACTCTTCTACAATACCAACATTTACTTCCATCAAATCTATTACAGGCAAAAGGGTAGTTTATACAAATTTACCTTCACGTATAGATGCTGGCAGCCTTTCAAACAATTTAGTGCAGCAATAACCAGTACTTCCTCTTCACAGACCAATTTGAAGGATGCTTTGAATGGCTTCACTTTTAAGTCTTTGTTCTTTTTCTCCTTCTCAGAGAGACGGCAGTTATGCTTTGGGGGAAAGCAGCAGAAAAGGTCAAAACAATTCTCTTTCCTAAACCTGTGGCTTTACGAATGTGAAATTAGCTGTTTTCGGGAACATAATTTAGTAGGAACTAAGCAAAATAACTGTGGATTTCATTTTTTAAAACAAAACTAGAAGATATTTTTATTCACATTCTTTAAAAAAAATAGAAGCTATTTTTGTATTTCACACCATACTTCTAAATATATAATTTAATATGCATAATTTCAAAGATAAAAATTATTCCACAATGATTTGTTTTTGTCTTAAACCAGGACTGTTTAACCTTGGCAACTCTAAGATCTGTAAACTTCAACTCCAGCTATGCTGAATGGGGAATTCTGGGAGCTGAAATCCACAATTCTTAAAGGACCCAAGGTAGGAAACTCCACCTTAGACCTAACCAATTCAAGATGTTTGTTATGTGACCTAATTGCTAATCTGACCACTGACATCTGTCCTACATTTTATACCAACCAACTGACAAGAGCGTCAGAAGTTCTTGGAAAAGCTGTATTTTCCCCTTCCCCCCGCTTTGTTCTGAGGCCCTTCCTTCCTCTTCATGTGTCAGCAACTGATAAACTCTTGCAAAACTGAAACTGCTACTAACTACAAGCTAATTCTCACTGCAGAACAGGTGCAATGCTTGGCAGTTTCTGCAACCTGATATTTTACAGATATTGAACTCTTTTACAGCCAACAAAGGCAGAAAGCGGAGAGAGAAACTGAGCCAAGATGGACCACTGAGAAACAAGACTAGATATTAGGATGCTCAGGGAAGTATAAATTTGCAGAAATGTGAACAGAAAACGAAAGACACAAACTGAACATGGCAATCTTTCCCCCTCAACCCCTCGCCTCACAAATCAACCCTTTCAGCTACAAAATGAAGATTGACAGTTAGTATGAAAAACGGAAAAAGGGGTGGGGTGGGGAACAAGTGTTGTTTGCCATGTTTCACTTGTTGCAGCTTATGCTACTATAGGAAAGAAAATTGCTGGCTAAAATACTAAAAAAGAAACTTCCTTTCTAATTGTAATCTACAATTTCCTACTTGTAGATTGTAATGCTTGCCTTATTTGTATGCTGGTTACCATGACAAGAGTTTGTTTTCTGAGCATGTGCATGGCGAGACAAACCAGAAGCTATAGCATCCCATAATTTCTAGTAACTATTAGTTTTCCTTGTCTTTTCAACAAAACACAGAATGTAAAAGACATACTGCATATTATTTTTAATATAGTTGCTGGCAGGCTAAGAAGGTGTCGTCTAAGCCATGCTGAGCATCTTGGGGGAGAAAGCCCCGCAGTTATGTGTCTCTCCCAAACTATTTTTGGAAACGTGCAACAATTGCCCAAGATCATTGAAATCCATAGCATACATTCTTGTTGTTTCCTAATGTATACCTAAAAAATGAATTAGATAAGCAAAGCATACATACTTTAAATATCACCCAGTCCCAGAACCTCTTGAAAGTAATAATGCAAAACAATTTTAGAAAAATCTCACCCATTTGTGTGATGTCACTAAGACCTCTGTAGTTCCCAGAATACATATCAAGAAAAGCCATGACATCATTGTACAAATTATGACATGAATAAATATATTTGCTTAAGCTTAATTACATAATTTGCATGATGATGTTATGTTGCACTTATAACTTTATTTCTGTGTCCATTTCTATGAATCCCCAGCTGCTGAAAATATGAAACAGCAGTCATTGGTTGCAAAACATTTGCCCATCAGTACTGCAAATGCATATATATTATAGAGGTTCAATTGAAGTCAAAGAGTTTTTCTTAACAAACTTTGGGACAGTCACTCTTTCTCAGTCCAACCCACCTCACAGGGTTACTGTTATGGGAAAAGAAAAGAGGATGGCAAAAAACCAGTTATGTTTGCTGTAATAAAAAATCTAGTAAATAAAATTTTGTTCAACTTCTGACACTTCTGTTCATAGTAAGCATATCAAGGCCAGCAATGAGAAATGTACTCTAGCAACACATTATAATTGTAATGTAATTTGCATAATATATTCTGAAATTTATGCATAACAACAAATCCATCTCTGATTGGCCATTTTCACATTTTTTATCTCTATACTGTACTATATCTCTGTGTCAGAAGCATTTTGGTGCTATGGTGAAAGGATTAGCCAGTGATATTATCATTGCCTGGGGACATTCTTTTATCACTATTTATAAACCCTATCACTGTTTCTTGAAATGTGATTGTTTGTATGATTTCAGAGTCAAACATTTAAACCAAGGTTTTGACAAAAGTAACAGAAGTAACAAAAGGGTTAAATTGATCCCTCCCTATGAATGTGCACTGCAAAAGAGTAATTTTAATTTTCTTCAGCAACCAACATCTGGCATAGATCTGCATCCAAATGACTAAATTTAGATGCTTAGTCATGCAAGCTATGATGATAAAGAAAATATAAATTAACTCATAATCCATCTCAAGTTTTAATTATAAAAGAAATCGAGTGACATATCTAGAATGGTTACAGCTTTTAGAATTAATTACCAATTTGGGTCTGCTGACCAACAAATATTACTGCAGTATCCTTGGGAAGAGCTACTGCAAAGACTATCACCAAAGAAATGTGTATCATCAACTGATCCGTGTGTAAAGCATTTGAATGAACTTACCTATAGGAAAGTGACAAGAATATGGCAAGGTTTTCACTGCAGACTTTTGATCATTGAAAAAAAATAACCCAGAAAAATATATTTTATAGCAGCCTCTGGTCTCTCAAACTGCAGCATGAGTTGGCATGGAAGCAGACTCTCTGGTATCAAAATGCTGGCAGAAATTCTGCAACCTCCTGGCACCTAATCTGTTGTTCTTTAATCAATGCTAAAGGCAAAAATGCAAACTAATTATTGAAAGTCTACAAAGCCTATTACAAAGGTTTCCTAGAAGTCATATTGCCATCAAATGATCTGTTCAGTAATCTCCTGCCCAAAAAAACCTGCTTTCCATTTTAGCTGTATTAACTGGTCATATTTCAAGGTTGTAGCTTACCTCATTACCAGCTGTACCCAAATATAGGTCTGTCCAGCCTTGTGCACAATAGTGAGACAGCTTAGTGCACACAAAATTCCTATCTATAGAGTTATCAGAGAATTAGAATTTTAAATCTTCTCTTCAGGTTTTCTTATTCAAATTCCTTACACCAGATCCCATTTGTAGTGATAACATGACATAGGCAGAAATTCTGCAAACTCCTAGCAGAAAACTTAATGTTTCTTTAATCAAAGCTGAAGTCAGAAATGCTGACTATTTATTAAAGGATTACAGAGAGAGTTGGATATCTCTGGGTTTGCTGGAAATCTGCCAAAGATGTACAAACTTGAGTTTACAAAGGGTCTCCATTCTCACAGACCTTTGATCAAGCCTTATATGTGAAATATTTTGGTCAATTGCTACTTTGTCATCTGGTCATTGGATGTGAAGGAGTGAGATATATGTCACCAGGGTTGATCAGCTGATTTGGGTGGCTAGTTGGTTGTCCCCTTTTTCCCTCACTGTTCCATGTACATCTTTCCCAAAGCTGCATGCAGGGTGGAAAAGCAGAATAACAGAACTGGAAGGGACCTTGGAGTTTTTCTAGTCCAACCCCCTGTTCAATCAGGAGATCCTATTCCATTTCAGATCAATGTCTGTCCAATCTTTTCTTTAAAAAAAAGCTCAGATCTAAGCCTTGGCTCCAAGATTGCCAGTAGCAGTTTAAATAAGTCCAATAATCCTAAATGAAATCTAGACAAGTTGTACATATAGAGTAGTTGCCCTGTATATTTATGTGTTTTGGGATTTCATTTTAGATGCATTAAAGGGGCACTTTGCTGGCACAGCTCCCTTGCAAATACAGAAGAAATATTGCCAGTGGTTGAAGATATGCATACAAATTTGAAAGCCTAAGTAGCTATGCTGAACATTCCAGAGGACACATGTGGCTCAGTGATTCAGAGAGGGCCACTTTGTTCATACAAACACCCTTTATGAAGCAGTGCTTCAAGTGCTTTACTTAGGCCTACATCCATGAAGATCCTCGAATTGTCTGGATATTGCAAGGAGCTGAAAAATAGTACAGAAGCATGCAATATATAGAAAAAGTGCATCTGTGGGTAACAGAGCTAAAGTCTCCTTGAAGTCAGACTTGTCTCTCCACATTTACTTAGTTCTCTTGGCAAGAAGGTTTACCATTGCTTTGTTTTGCATTGGTTTTGACTACCCAGTTCAGCCTACAATCGTAGTCATTCTTGGTGGTCTTTCATAAAAATTGTTATCTTGGTCTTAAGTTATTTTACCTTTCAAGATCAACCAAGGTCAGCAATTAACTATTCTTTCATTTTCAAAAAGATGAATTGCAGAATGACATAAACATTTGGTTGACTACAGTTGCAATTAAATACACGAAAATTTTATGGATAGATGTAGATGTAAAATGTAGACATAGACATGGACATAAAGATATGCAGATAAAAACTATTACAAACTAATATAAAGTATGGAAGAAAAAAAGAAAAAGAAAGAAAAGAGAAAGCAAAATGTGCATTTTTTTAAAAGGTTAAAAAAATAGAAAAGAAAAAAGACACAAAGAAATAACTTCCAATATTAGTCACACAGCAAAAAGTCTATAAGGGGTTTCCAGTCACTAATTAATATAGTGTCTTTAATCAAAAAAGTGTATCCATCTCAGCAAGATCTGTCCATTTCACCAATCATTCCTCCAAAGTGCGTAGTGTCAAAACGTTCCATCTCTGTGCATATAATAATCCTACTATATATTGATATAATCTTTCATAGCTTTTTTCTAATCATTCATCCATTAGTCCTAAAAAGAGAGGTTCTGACTTCAAATGAATAGTAATCTTTAAAATTATATGTATCAAAGTATGTATTTGAATACCCTTTTAAAATATTTTTTTACATGTTCACTTAAAAAGATAGAATGTCCTTTCATGTTGTTTACATTTCCAACATACATTTGAAGTGCCTTTATATATTCTAGATAGTTTTTCTGTTGTCATATACCAAAATACATCATTTTATAAAAATTCTCTTAAGATTATAACACGGTGTAAATTCTTAACTACATATTTTCCCATTGGTCCATCTGTATGTTATAACCAAAATTCTTAGTAAGTACATAAACACTTAGAATATATATATTTTATAGATCGAACCATAAAATCTAATTTGCACAAAATACAATTTCATCCATCCATCCATCCACTCACCCACCCACCCATCCATCCATCCACCCACTCACCCACCCACCCACCCACCCACCCATCCATCCATCCATCCACCCACTCACCCACCCACCCACCCACCCATCCATACATCCATACATCCATACATCCATACATCCACACATCCATTTTTTTTACCTTTGCAATAAATTCACATTGCTAAAGGACTGTAATTTCTTAAGTAAGTATCTACATAATTTAAGTTTCATTATCTATTACTCAGTTTCTGACCTTACTGAAAATATATGAACTCTGCTTATTAATGTGAAACAGATTTCCATGTCAGTTCAAAAGATTCACCTCTTAGTTTTTTTTAAATGCTGGAGAAAAAATAGATAGTTGAACTCAAATATCAATCATTATTCAGAAAACTGAATTGGCATTTGAAATCAAATTTATTCAGTCTTTATTGTTCATGTTCTCCATATAATAGAGGTTGAAGACCTCGATAATATTAATCTGGCTAGTTTCTGACAATATCTTCTCTATGGATCCAGGGTGATTACAAAAAGATGTTCATCTGTCTAGCTTTTACAGGACCATTTGACATCTTCCTCTTCATTGCTGGGATATATGGATGTGTCATAAATCCTGAGATAAATTCAAGCTTTGTCTAGAATTTGTTATCATAATGAATTCCTTTCTCATTTTGTCAAATTTGAAGGTCATTAAATAAATAGCAGAAAATGTGTATCTATTATTTCCTCCCACAAAAGAAATAATTTAAGCATTTAATACATTAAATAATAGACCATGCCAGGGTTCTAATTGAATCTAGAATATTTACTAGTTAATTTTTATTTATTCTATGACCTTTTGCAGAGCAAAGAGAAGTGTCCTTTCCTTCACAGAAACTATTGACATTTTAGAAATAGCTTTAGCCAGAATCAGGTTACCTATGCCCTCTGCCAAACAGCCTTCAGGTTTGACCCTCATGAGCATAAGCAGTACAGGTAATCCTTGATTATGACCCCAACTGAACCCAAAATTTATGTTGCCAAGGGAGAGATTTGTTAAGTGAATTTCATGGTTAATTGGATCACTGCAGTTGTTAAGTTAGTAACACAGCTGTAAAGTGAATCTGGCTTCCCAATTGACTTTGCTTCTCAGAAGATCACAGACAGTTATCACATGACCCTGGGACACTGCAACCAACATAAGTATGAGTCAATTGCTACGGGTGCCAATTTTGATCACATGACAACAGGGATACTGCAATGGTCTTTTTTTCAGCTTTGATGATCACTAAATAAACTGTTGTAAATCAAGAATTACCTGTATATTTGCAACCATCCTCAATACTCTCTTCAAAGCCAATTACAGAGTACAGTAGCTTGTGTCTACACTGTTCTGCCATCT